CCCTTTAAGCACAGCCCTCGGCTAGCCTGAGACAGCATCTCCACGCTCTAAGTCCTCCTCTGATGCCCTGCCGGCACTGCTTCCGGCCATCCTTAAGTCCGGTTCAGGGTCCACTTAATGTGGACATGCTAGTTCGAATTAGCAAAACGCTAATTCGAACTAGTTTTTTAGTCTGGATCCGCTAATTCGAATTAGCTTAGTTTGAATTAACTAATTCGAACTAAGTTAGTTCGAATTAACGTTGTAGTGTAGACATACCCTCATATATATAATTTTGATGTCATATGTAGTTGGGGTTTAAGAGTATGACCACCTTCCCACCCGTTCCCCAGTCAAAAAGGAGCCAATTCCAAGGAATCCAGCAAAGCTCCTGGGCATATGTAAGCCTCACTGAGGGAAGGAGGAGCCGAGCTCATTGAACTGCACAATCATATTTTCATTATCTGCACAGTCTACTATTGGGGCCGCTCATTTTGGCAATTTACATGGGTACAACTTATTTTGTTGGCAAAAGTGGGAAAAGTAGTCCACATGTTTTCTACTTGGCCCAGCAAACAATCTGCCCAGAATTAGGGAAATGCAAAAACAGCTTTTGTACCCCTGTCCAGATCTGGGTATTCCTTTGCCATTTTCAAAGGTACCGTTTTAAGTGTTTCTCTGTACTGTTGGAGTTAAAAATGCCATTATGGAAGTCAGGAAAGTGAACAGTTTGAGGGAGAACATAGAACATGCAATGAATAAGTGTGAGTGCATTGATGCCTACTTTGGATATGAGATATTGAGCTAGTGTTATTTATTCAGTGGAAAATTCATAGATGAGTTACGGGAGATTTTTGTCTATTATGAAAGTAACTGCCATACTCAGACTATTCTTTACTTTTAGCTTGGCTACAAAGAAATACATAGGAGCCACAAACTATAGAGAGAAGATTCACAGTACCTTAACACCATGTGGGACATTTCTTTTTTCTGGAAGTGAAGATGGTATAGCATATGTTTGGAATCCAGAAACAGGTAACCAATCACTTATTTTACAGTATTAGGCTAGGTTGTCAAGCTCTCTGGAAGAGCCTTATTAAAAAAACAAACCAACAAACAAAACCCCCTTTTTTTCCCTTTAATAATTTTGGTGCAAAATACAATTCAGGTTGGTGTCCTTGCATGTAAAAATGTAAGGTCTGCCTTCTATATCAATGTTATTAGTTATGTGCTCTGAGTTAACAATTATCGTTTATAGGAATAAATCCCAGTCACATGTAGGATCTCAGAATTATAATAGTAATTAAAGATTTATAGTTTGGTGTTTTGTTCTGTTGTCCTTTCCATATATAATGCCAAAGCATTTATGTATGCAAATTAAGATTCTGATCCAAAGCCCAATGAAGTCATTGAGTGTCTTTCTGTTCACATCTGTGGGCTTTTGATCAGGCTATTGAGCTATTTATCTTATATGCACAATTGACTGATTGAAGACCTCTAATAAGGAAATGATTGATATACAGAGCCATGTGGATGTTGGAGTACTAGGCTTCCTAGTGAATTGTTCCCAAAACTAGATAATTCCCTCATAACCACTAAAATACAAAAGAATCCTTGTGGACAAAGTTCAAAAAACACACAATTAAGTAAGAGCTAGAGATTTTTTTTTTCTAAATTAAGCTTATATAAGCTTAATACTGGGTTTAGCAGAGAAGAAATTAAATTTAATGATTAGTAACAAAATTTTGGTGTTGTTGACTTTCTGTTTTGTTCTTTTATATCAAATCACAACCTAGGTATTTAAAACTTTGAATATTTAAAACCTTGCATTAGGCTTTCAGGTCTATTCAGAAGATTTTTGAAGGCATTTTCATTAACCTTCAAAAATAGGCAGAATGTAGGAAGAGAATGTGTAAATAGAAGCACTGACCCTAAAAGGACTTATGCAGTTGTTTAATTTTAGACATAAATTGTTTCATAGAGTCCAGGATCAAGGCCAAAAGTTTAGAAACTAGTGGTGTCCTCAGCTTCCATTTCCATTGGTCACTATAACTGAAGCCGATGACGAAGATAACAAGTATTATCCAAGAAAGATACAAGCACACATACAGTATTATGTTTGTGCCATTTAATTTTTAATTAAGTAGATAATTCTTTCCAAGTTATAAACTAGTTTAATATACAAAGGATGAAATCCTATCCTCTAAAATTTTGTTAATATAAATATAATATAGAGAGATGAGTGGATATTATATTAATTTGCAGCATTATGTCAAATTTTCATGAGAGTACAAATTAAGAACACCATTTTTCCCTTTGCAGGTGACCAACTAGCCATGTATTCTGACCTCTCTTTCACGTTTCCAGTTCGAGATGTCGCCTTTCATCCACATGAAAACATGGTGTCATTTTGTGCCTTTGGTCAAAACCAGCCAATAATTGTGTACATTTATGATTACAAAGGTACTGTAGAGCATTTATTAATTTATAAAAATGTTGGTAATGTTTTGTTTAGTTTTTTAGAAGTGACTTGCAAAGGTTCTTTTGAAAAAAACAAACAACAAAAAAATCAAAATCTGTTATGCAGGAATTGTTCTTCAATCTCTAAATTAGTTTGGGTATGTCTACACTACAGCCTTATTTCGAAATAAGCTATTTTGAAATAGCTTATTTTGAAATAACACGTCTACACACAAAATGCATTTCGAAATAGCATTTTGCCATTTCAAAATAGCGTGTCCACAGTGAGTAGATGCTGAATCGCATTTAAGGCCGGCCGGAACCAGGTCTGGCAGAGCATCAGGTCAGGAGTGTCTTTGTGTGGCTGCTGCCTGAGGCTATCTGAGGCCTGTGTTTAAAGGGACCCCCTTGGACAGCCAGTTCTCAGGTTTCCCTACTTGCTTGCCTACCTCGATGAGGGACAGCAAAGCATTTTGTCTCTGCATGCTCTGCTTGACCTCACTCGGGGCACCACAGCACTTTGCAACATGGAGCCGGAGCTGCCCCCAGAGGGACAGCAAAGCAGTCCTGTTTTGGAGTGCCCTGAGTGCCCTCACTCAGGACACCACGGCACTCGTTGCGAGCCCTAGCTGCACTTTCTGCAGGCTGCCA